ATTGCTAAAGAAGTTCGTCATTCCATGCATACAAGTTTTCTTAAAACGTAAAAGTCCTTTTCTTTGTTGAAATATTTACATTATAGGAATGTGGTTAGGTATCTTGGTTACACAAAATCTGTCTAAATAAAAATATCGGGCAGTTATTGTTCGAACGTTTTTTAATTTGAATTGGTTCTTACGTAGAATGTCGACATTTCTACAGTTTATAATTGCACTTTTGTTCTGGGAATCGTGACTTGTTTTGCGCTACAGACGGCGGCATCCACCTGATGTACTTTGTCACCACGACGATACTAACACAGTGTTACATATATATATGTGAACGGAACAAGTGGTACAGCGATACAGATTACCTCTCCGGATTTTCTGATGTAATAAATTAGTGACAAGACTGTAGCATGAAGCGTTGGTATATATGTATTTTTCTTGGATCGATAGCTTCTATCGAAGATCGTGCTCTTCTATGTATAAGCTTCCGCTTATAAATTGATGTAACCCATCGATGTAGAATTCCTTTGTTCGATTTATTCTCAATGTCAATTTTTGATTGGCGATGATTTGATGATTATATTATATTTATTGTATCGATATTATGTATCATTTTTTCGTGCTGGTGAAAGATATTTTTCACTAGACGTCCATGTCATTAGCTAGAGATTGTTTTCTGATGATAAATATGCAAATATGTGTAAAAATCCTTCTTAATAATTAAAGATGACGGACTCGAATTAATTGTAATTAGGAATGGTAATTTTCTTAATTTTGTTGTCTAAAGACAGTGGATTGATTTATCGTTTCAAAAATAATGTAATAATTTTTATGTAAGCTTGATCTTGTGTCACATTGCTAATAGAATAAAGTAGATAATTTGTTTTGTTAATGTGGTTATGTCAGAAGATGATTAGCTTGAATTTAAATAGTTATTCGTAGTACACAATTGATCCCCATACAATTCAAGGTATCTCGCATTGTGAGAAAACTGCATCATACGAATTATATGTATTTATACAGGGTGACACAGTTGAAATCGAAGACGAAAAAACGAGTCGGAAAGAAAGAATAAAATTTTGTTCGTTAAAGCGAATCGTATCCGAGGAAATCGATTTTGAAGATTTATCGAGTATAAGTACCCTCAATATATATACCCTGTATACGGCAACGAATTTGGGTGAATCTTTCTTACGCGGACCTCGACTCTTTCTAGCGCGTTATGTAGAATTAGTTTATCACGTTCTATGCCTAATTTTTGGCCGTAATTTTTTCGCCGCGTTGCACGAACCTCCATTATACTTTCAATAGTATGTTATAGTAAACAGAATTCATGAATCTGCGGTACATATAGGGTAATCCTATAGTTACCTTGATACAGCTTAAGCATGAGTTATGCAGGGTCCAACGTTCAATGTCGTAAAACTTATCTCGGAGCCTCGTACTCGTTGACCCGTTCCATTGCTTTTTGCATTATGCCCTATATACATATGTTCGTGTCTCTCTGTGTCGATGAATTTGACTCTCGTAGATCGTAGGACAATCGTGAGAAATCATGCTCGGCTATTGCTAAGCAAAGAAGTGCAGACGACTTTTTGAAAAGTCATTGATGTGTGGTGCTAGTTCAGTCTTACGTAGAAAATTTCACGACATATTTATCATTATATTTGTCGTTCATAATTATCAATTTTTTCCCCCTCTTTTTCTTTTGATCCGAGATATTTATGAAACTATAATATCGAAGAAGTACATACCATGACTTTTTCTATTTGATACACGTGTGTATTATTTGTTTTAGATATCTTCAAAGTTGTGATACGAAGATAGTAGTATCAGAAAAACAATCATCTCCACAAGGTAGAAATAAGTCACTTTGATAAAGTGACGATACTTTGTCCGCTCTTGCAGAAAGTATTTAAAAAAGAATTTGATCATAAATGATGGATGAAAATCGTTGATCCATGGATAAATATTACGAATTATTAGCCATGTATTAATTACAATAGTGTTCAATAATTTTCATCGTTTTATTATTGCGTAATTGATTTGTGATATCGTGTTCCCATTTCTATCTTTCTGTTTAAGAATTTTGTTATGTAATGGGTAATAGAATTGAAGCTAAGAGTAGTAGAAGATAGTGAAAG